GGACAAAGCTGTGCAAACCAAACTGGAACAATTGGCTTTGGACCCAGCTAGCGACGCAGACTACTCCTTGCAAGATGGAGTGATCCGCTACAAAGGGCGCATTTGGATCGGGGCTGATGTGGAAGTGCAACAGTCATTGATCAAAGCACTACATGACAGCGCTGTGGGGGGTCATTCGGGATTCTATGCCACGTATCATAGGGTGGAAAATCTGTTCTTCTGGAAAGGCATGAAAGGGATGATCAAACAGTTCGTCCGCGCCTGTGTAACCTGTCAGCAAGCTAAAACTGAGCGCGTCTCTCCAGCGGGGTTGTTGCAGCCCCTACCGATACCTAAACGACCCTGGGCTGTCGTATCTCTGGATTTCATCGAAGGGCTGCCTAAATCGGGAGGATATGATGTGATTCTGGTGGTGGTGGACAAGTTCTCGAAATATGCTCACTTCGTGCCGCTAACCCACCCCTTCACGGTGCTGACAGTGGCGACAGCATTCCTGAAGAACATCGGGCTTCCTCTGGCCATCATCTGGACAGAGATCATATCTTCACAAGTGCAGTCTGGCAAGAGCTGTTCAAGATCTCACAAACCTAGTTGCGCCTCAGTTCTTCGTACCACCCGCAGACTGACGGGCAAACGGAACGAGTGAACCAGTGCTTGGAAGGATACCTGCGCTGTGCGGTTCACTCCTGCGCGGGGAATTGGAGCAAGTGGCTGTTTCTGGCAGAGTATTGGTACAATACCGCCTTCCACTCATCGTTGGGGCGCACTCCGTTTGAAGTAATGTATGGTCATTTACCGAGAGAGTTTGCAGTTACGCAAGTGGAAGAAAGTTCAGTTCCTGATTTGGCAGCTTGGTTGCACGAAAGAGAGGTAATGATGGAGCACCTACAGCAACAACTCAAGCACGCACAGGACCGCATGAAGAAGCAAGCTGATAAGCATCGCACAGATCGTTCATTCGAGGTGGGAGACATGGTATTCCTCAAACTGCAGCCGTTTATCCAAACATCAGTGGCGCAACGACCTTACCAGAAGCTGGCATTCCGTTACTATGGACCTTATCGCATCCTGGCTAGAGTGGGAGCGGTAGCTTACAAGCTCCAATTGCCTGAAGATAGTAGGATACACCCAGTGGTGCATGTGTCTCAACTGAAACGGATGATCGGGCCAGAGGCTCGGGTGAGTCCGTCGCTACCACCTGCTAACTCCGTTTTGCAGGCAGAACACCATCCGGTGGCGATACATGATCAGAAGCTGGTGCGCGTCAAAGGTGAACTCCAGCCGCGGTTCCTGGTGCGATGGTCGGAACTGCCTCCGTCGCTGGCTACCTGGGAGGACCCCGTCGAGCTTCGTCGTTGTTTTCCGTCAACAGCGGCCTGGGGACAAGCCGCCACTCAAGGAGGGGAGAATGTCACGCCTGACATACCGACCCCACCAGCCGTGGTGGGCTCTGATGCAGCTGGGCCAGTCGGCCTCGCTGAGTGACGGTGTGTGTGGGTAGTTGGGACAAGCGTAGCCTGCGTGCTCGCGATGGGTTAAGTAGGTGGCTGAGCCACGGATTCGGTATCGACTATGGAGACAACTGGCAACAGAGAGAGAGGCTGCTCCTCCTCCGATTATTCCCCTTTCCACTCCTTCCTCTCCAGATCCCAAATTACTCCTCCTTCCTCCTTGATTTGATAGTAATAGATAGCTGAGGTAGATCGGGCCTGTTACAGCGCAGGGCGTGGCGTGCCATCGTGGACGCCCGGCACCTCCTCCCGCACTCCACGCAGCACCCCCGCGTCGACTATGGCAACCTCCACTTCCTGCCCGACTACACATAAGGCTGTAGAACGATCACGGACCAGTGCAATGGTCTCCTGCTCTACGGCGACACGACGGAGTTTTTTGTGGCCAACCCCGCCACGCGGCGGTGGCAGCGGCTGCCTGGAACGCACAATGATGGGGAATGTCGTGAAGCCTATCTCACATTTGACCCTGCCGCGTCGCCGCACTACAAGGTGTTGTTGATCCCTCCTAAGAGCATCTCCAGCCGTTCGGCCCCCCAGGGCGCTAAAAAATAATGGTCTGGGGGCGAACCGACGCTAGTTCGGCCCCTGAAGGCGATCTAGCTCCCAGTCACGCCCCCAGGACATGGAAAATTCAAATTTGGTCGTTCCCGCTCACAAAAGACGTCATACAAGTCCGGCAATCGCAAGTCACAGTTCGGCGATCGGACAGGCGTACATAAAATAGAGCGGCAGAAGTTCGCGTTCGCATCACTCGGCGGGCTCTGCCCCAGGCGTCGGCGGAGTTGGCATGCGCGGGCTAGGCGGTGTCGGAGCTGCTTCTGCGCTAGGCGGTGTCGGCACGGCATCGATGCTGCTGGGCATCGCGGAGGCGTCATCACGCGGGCTTGGCGGCGGCGGCGGCAGCGGTGTCGAGGGAAGCTGGTTCAGAATGAGCCCGCGCTCCGCCAAGTAGCACGCCTTGACCGCCTCGTCGGTGCTCTGGAGCATGTCCTCCCCGCCCAGCAGGAAAGCCAAGTCGGTGTTTCTCTTCTTCACGGCGACGTTGGTCCGGAGCAGGTCGAGCTTGACGGCGCTGCTCGACATCAACGCCGACCACTGTGCGTCGGTCTTCTCTTCACGAAGGATGGCCCGGGCCTGCACGTCGGCGAGGCAGTGCTCGATGGACTCGTGCACTCGAGCGGTAGCCGCGTCGGCGTGTTTCCCTTCTTGGCACCTTTGTTGCCGTCCGGCCGCCCTTCTGATGCGCCAGGAGTCGGCGCGTCCGGCTTGTAGGTCTCCTTGTCCTTGTCGAGGGTGCACCGGACTTCTGTCCACTTCTCGCACTTGTCAATGCGCTTGTAAACGTGGAGGTGCTTGAATTCGGCGTCGCTGTTGCTCTGCCGGTACAGGGCGAACATGCGCAGTAACTGCGCGGAGGAACAAACAGTTGGCAGGCGTACACGGCGAAGAGAAGCGGGAGACCGGCGTGGCATACCTGATCCTCAACGCCGGCGCCGCTCTTTAGGCGAGCCGCGACCTCCTCGACGACCCCATGACATTTGTTGCACGCCCTGGATACGCCCCCAATGGTTCGCCATCGCCTTCGAGCCGCGCTGCATGTAGACGCCTTTGAAGTAGGGGTCGACGAGCTTGCGCTCGTCGAACTCGGCCTTGATGCGGTCCCAGTACGTCTCGATGCTCTGGTTCGTGCCGGTGGTCGGGTCGAGGCAGATGACTTTCCATGCTTTGGTGAGACATTCCTCCTCCTTGGACGCCCACTTGATGCGCGGCTCGCCTTACCTGGTCGCCCGCTTCTTCTTCTCGCGCCCCTTCGCCGGAACAGGCGCCGGCTCCTCCTCCTCCTCCTCCTCCTCCTCGTCGTCCTCCTGCTCCTGCTCCTCCTCCTCCTCCTGCTCGTCCTCGCCCTGGACGTAGCCAAGCTCGCCGTCCATGCCGCCGCTGAGATCCATCGTCTCGTCCTGGGTGACAAACCCAGGAGACGCGGCGGCCGCGGCCGAACCTGCTGCGATGATGTCGTCCATGTTGCCCTCGGGCTCGTCGGTGTCGCCAAGGTGCGAGAAGGGCAGCGCGCAACGGCATAGATGGGGTGTCGGGGAGGACGCGTAGGCGGGCGGCGAGTAGTTGTATGGAGGGTACTGCACGCCGGCGAAGGCGGGCGAGGGCGTGCGCTGGGTCGGGTGTCCATGGGGAAAGGTGATGTTTGGGTTGAACCTATCGTGCGCGTCATCGTCGGCGTAGCTCGGCGAGGGCGATCCCCATGGCTGCGGCGACAGAGAGTTGACGATTTGCTGGCCCCAGGGAGCGTACTGGGCGTGGCTGCCAGGTGGATTCATCATCCCCGCGTGAGTCGCCTCGGCCTCGGCTTGGTCCGTCGAAGCGGCAGCCGCAGCCGCGCGCGCCGCGTTGTCGCGGGCCTTCTTGGCGATGGCCCTGTTGCGCCGGTCGGTGGTGACAGCCTCCCGTCGCTGAACTTCCGCCCTCCACTCGGCTTTGTCATGCCCGGTGGCTTGGACGGCAGCGCCCTTGGCTTCCTCTGCTTCGGCTGGGCGACGGAGACGGTCGCGCTTGCCGCCGCGCGGGGGGTGACGTACTTCTTCGATGGCATGGCGGCCGGCTGGGAGGTGAGCGGGAGGGAGATTGGCGAGAGGGAAGAAGAAAATGGGAGGGAAGTGGGGGAAAAGCGGGAAGAAACGGCGGGAATAGGCGCTGGACTCGCCGACAGGGCGGACCCACGCGCCCTTTTCACTTGTGCCGGCGCCCCAGGCGCCCCCGGGGCGCCGGGTGCTGCCTGGGTCCGCCGGCACCAGTTTCGATCCGAACCGGCGAAAAACAGGCCTCCGGAGGGCGACTGGGCCGTTTTTTCGACGTCGGTGTGGCAAAAACGCCTGGAAAGGGCCTGTTGAAAGCGCGGCTAAAGATGCTCTAAGGATCTACGGCTGTTCGATGTGACGAACTGCGAGTTAGCGGAGGTTCAGCCAGAACAGCTCGTGGAAGAAAACTTCACGATAAGTTCAAGATTCTTGTCCAAACCTCGGTGGAGCACTGAGGTTCCGCAACACTCGACGGAATGGCCACCGGCCGTGTTAACGCTGGACGTTTTCTTATCAAGCGCAGGAGAATGGCAGGAGAGGTCGTTTGTCAGGGAAGGAAGTGCTACGAGGAGAGTGGTCAACGTGCGGGGTTCACTGCCGTTCACGAGCATTGGATTGACAAGATGGCGCTACGGCACCTACTGGCGAGGAGCATTACATGTGCTGCTTTATCGCGGTGCATTCGTCACAAGGTACATTAATGTAAAATATTAAATTCCTTTGTATTTGTATTGTTTATTAGACATCACCATTGTATCAGTACCACTAAAAATGATATTGACATCTTTATGGGCACCTTTGAAGGTTATCCTCATCTACCGGCAAATATCAAGTAATAAAAACACCAATAGATGCTAACGAACACAAAGTTGGACAGCATTATCTTGGGAGCTCCATGGAGGCTGTGTACTTTGCAAATCTTCATGATCGAATTCGGATTTGGCACCTGAGTGAATCCAATGGTGAGGTAGAATGGGTGTTGAAGAATAGCATTGGCCTTGTTGAGCCATCGGCAAATATATATTCGCTCAACCCTTATCGAATCTGCGGACCTTGGATATTTGATGACGATCATGTTCTTGACAAATATGGCAATAGCAAAAGGCTTGAGAATGTGATTTCTGATTGGGACTGGGATGATGATAATATTCTCGATGAGTGTGGACGTCATCCTGGATACTGTCCGTTACTTGGATGTCCATTACTTGGGTTTCACCCCTACAAAGATATTGCTTTCTTCCATCTGGGGTTAAAAGCAGTGGCTTATCATTTTGATAGCTCAAAAGTTCAGTACATAGGCTATATGCGTCCACGAATTCATATCTCATGGTCCGTTGATGAGTCCTTTATATACACCCCTTGTATGATTGGAGATCTTCCAGAGAAGACTAAAAGTTAGATGCAGACGCAGCTGAAGATTATAAATTTGTTTTATGACTCCCATAAAAAACTTGTTTTAAGACTACTGTATGTTTGTTCTAAGTTTTTACGTCTGATAGTTTGTGTCCTGCATCCTTGTTTTTCCTTTTCTTTTTTGCTTCGCCCCATGGCTCAGCCTAATGCCTCTCGGTTGTGCAAGTCCTTGGTATCTTCTTTTCCTTTTGCAGTTATACGAAGGTGGTGCATACAGGTATACACACAACGACACGGAATTGGTCAAGTAGTGTCTCAGAAGTTGAGAACCGTAGGGGCACGTAAATGCAGGTGCACTCACCTGCCAAGCCCACACAAGTGCACGGTAAAAAAGAAAATCTCTCGAAAAGCCTTAAGTTTCAACAATGAAACTTACTGATTTTGCATCAAAAAATGCCCGGTTTCAACAAGTTTCAGAGATACTATTTTAAGCAAAAAAAAATCTGTCGGTCGTACACACAAAATATTTGATTTTTATCGATCGCTCATACTAAGTTTCAAACACTGAAACTTAATTTCTTTTCAAAGTCATCAAAATATATTCAAAATGGATCTTATTTGAAAGCACCGGTCGCGAGAAACACAAATATGGAAACAGAACTTCATTTAATTTTTCCATTTAAAAGATATAAAACTTTAAAAATCGAAAGCCGAAATAAAAAGCTGGGAACAGGGACCAGAGTGCCCCGGCACTTGCCTGCCATAAATCCGGGAGTAACTAGTTAACGAGCGCTCCTTCGGGAGCCTCGCAACGATCAGCGCCACTTGGCGCGCTCTCAGCCATTCGCCATGTGTCGCGCTCTGGACGCTTCCTTCGGATTTTGTTTTTTTTTATTTTTCCGCACACGTTTTCGGCTTTTTAAACGGTTTTTTTTTCGATTTTTTTCGACGTTTTGGATTTCCCCCGGTCTTTCTTAGCTTTTCGATCAAAAAAGAATTTCGAAGAAATTTTTTTCGCGAAAAAATGCGTGTTTTTTTTCTTTCGTGAAAGTCATGGTTTTTCTTCCGCGAGAGGCACAGTTGTTCTTTAGCGAGAGTCACGGCCGTGCCTCTCGGAAACGAAAAAAAACACGTTTTCTATTTTTTTTTTCTTTCGCGAGAGTCACGGTTTTGTTTTCGCGAGAGTCACGGCCGTGCCTCTCGGAAAGGGAAAAACAAAACGCGTTTTTTGTTTTTGTTTTTATTCGTGAGAGTCACGGTTTTGCTTCCGCGAGAGGCACGGTTATGCTTACGCGAAAGTCACGGCCGTGCCTCTCAGAAAAGGAAAAAATATGCGTTTTCCGTTTTTTTCTTTCGCGAGAGTCACGGTTTTTCTTTCGCGAGAGGCACGGTTGTATTTTCGCGAGAGTCACGGCCGTGCCTCTCGGAAACGGGAAGAAAACACGTTTTCTGTTTTTTTCCTTACACGAGAGTCACGGGTTTGCTTTCACGAGAGGCACGGTTGTGAATTTGCGAGAGGTACGGGCGTGCCTCTTTCGGAAAGGGAAAAAACTGTGCTCCCGGTTCGGTTTTTTTGCCCGGTTTTTTCGTTTGGTTTTTTTCGTGGAAAAAAAGTTCGTCAAAACCTATCAACATGGGATCTAGTTTTGAAGATCTCAACGCGAGGAATCCAATGGTGAAAACGGTTCGAGATTTGGACGCACGGTTTAAGAGATAAAATGTTTTGAAGAAACGGATCTACGAAAAAAAGGAAAACTTCCAGGTTGCAACAAGTGGCGCGCTGCATGTGCGTCACTTGTCGCAACCTGGAAAAGTAGAGTGTTCTTTGCAATGAGTACTCCTTAATTAGTGATTTCACATAAATCCTCTTCCGCAATGTCCACGTAGATAAAAATGCTCTTAACCAGATAGAACAAAGCCCATTTTACTTGAGCAACTCGAAGTTGGGCCACAGCCCACAGCAGCCATAGAGAAATTCGGGCCAACTACCCGATCCCGGCGCTCACGCTGGCATACTATTGGTCCTGGCCCAATAGCACGCGCTTTCGCTGGCTGGCACGTCGCTTTGGTGTTGGTCGTCCTGGGTTAGCTGTTGACTGGTTTTGCTTAAAAAAAAGGCAAATTTGACTATTTTGATCTGTAGACGAAATCAATTCACAAAATGAACTGCCCGTGAAACTATTTCACAGCACTGACCCTTTTGTATAGCGCCCGCCACGCAGGCATCACACCCTACGGTGCAGCGCCTAGCTCGGGGGCGTTGCACCTTAGTCCACCGTCGCAGTCCTTGGGCCCGCACCCAGCAGTGCAGCGCCTCCTAGCTAGGCGCCACACATGTAATGTGCAGCGCCTAGCGTTCGGGCGCTGCACTGTGACTTATCCAGCGGCTGGGCCCCCTCCCCCACTCCCCCCACCCCACACACCCCAACCCGAGCTTTGCCCCCTCTCCCACTCTCTCCCCCTCTCAAATCCTCTCCCAAAACTTGCAAATTTGAAGAATTTGTCCGTGGATTTCGAAGTCATACCCTCCCTCAAGGTAATCTTCTCCGAACCCTTGTTTTG